TTTTCTATTTTATTGAAAATTTTATCAGGAGATATACAAAGATTAGAAATCAAAGGATTTCATGAATTAAATTATATAGAACATATTGTTATTTCAAGTAATTTTGATATTAAATCTTTATATCATAATTTAGATTATAATCAAGGTCAGTTAGACTGGAGAATTGATGCAATTTGGCATTATAAAAAAGATTTAAGTGGAAATAATTTTTCAAAAAGAAAATGTGAAAGAAATCCTTATTTAAAACAACTACATCGTAAATATCTCGATGAGATTGATTATTATGATAATTTTAGAGAAAATTGGGAATTTTTAGAAAATAGATTAGGCGTAACAAAAAGAATTTTTCATTCAAATTACTCTTCACTTCCATTTGATATTAATTTACAAGGTGGAGAAATTAATGATGATGACTTACTAACAGAAAAAATAGCTTTAAAATTAGCTTTAGAACGAGAACAAGCAAAACAAAATCAACTAGTAGTTATTCCAAAAAGAACAAGAGAAGATTATTCATCTGAATCATCTGATAGTCAATCAGAAAAGAATAACGAATCTGAATCTGAGTCTAATTATAATTCAAATATTAGTACAGTTGATAGTGATGACTCTCAAGAAACTAAAGAACTTAAACAAAAAAATATTAGAAAAGGCAAACAAAAAGTAGAATAATATTTGATTTTTTATTATTATATTTTTATTTGTATTATTTTTTATCGATATAATTTTATCATATGATATCAATTATATATTATAAATTAATAAATTTTTTAATCACATATCACATATATGTAATAATTCTAAATAAAGATTTTCTTTGTTACAAATTTGTATTGTTTATTATTATTATTATCTATATAAAAATTAAATTTGTTTACGTGCATAAAAATTATAAATAATAAAAAAAGATAATCTTTTTTTCTCTCAATAATGAAAAACTTTTTTTACGAAGGTTAATATTTTTTTTTTTATATTTAAAAAACTTTTAAAATATGATTAGAAATAATTCTAGATAAGTCTTTAACTCAAACTCTAACTACTTTGATGATAATGTTATCAAGTCCCTTTTTAAAAATCTTATCAACCACTTATCATTAACTTAGTTCTCAATCAGTTCTAAACTGGTTTTTTCCTTTGCTGGCTTCTTTCTTCGCTATAGACTTATGATTTTTTATTTTGTTTTTTTTTTAATTTATTGTTTTAAAATATCAGTCACTAACTATTTTTTGTTCTCTTTTTTTTATAAGTTAATAGAAAATATGTCTAATATTGTTGATGATATCGATAATATTATCGAACAGAATAACAATCTTCAGAGCTCTTTAATTCAAGTTTGTAAAAAAATTAATGAAACAAAAGCTAAAGTTAAACCCAAATCAAGTTTAAATGAGATTATAGAAAAAACAAAACCAAATAATTTGAATAATCAAAATGAAACTGATATTGAAAG